TTACATTTTACAACAGCTAGATACATCTGTGAATATATCTCTTCCCAATTTGTGACTTTTGCCTTCCTTTAATTTGACCTCAAAAAAATGGAGCTTCACTCGCTATAATTGTCTCGGTACTTCAAGTTTGAAGTTGTAGTTTTTTCAAAAAGCTTTAACCTCTACTGCCCTTCAGTATTTCCAAAAAACTAAAAAGAAACTTACAAAACCTAGAATGCCTTAGCCTCTTAGGCATATAAACCTTTGAAAACTGTGCTCCCCGGCCCGTCTCCGGTCTCAAAATAAGAGTCCTTGCTTGTATAATAAAATAAGAGTTCTTTTTATTGAACTATTTAAATATGTTAAACAAGACTTCTATTTCGATACAGAAAAAGATCAAATAGTCACTTTATTCATCACAATAATAAGAAACAACTTTAAACTAATTTTAATGTTAATTTATGTGTTATAATAAAGGTCGGAGGAATATAATTTGTTTTATTTAAACATAAATCATACGTACACATTGCATCATTCCTTGTGCACGTCTCTCTGCACCATGAAATTAGATAGTCGCAAAACTTACGTCTACAAGTCCAAATCTCCTTTTCTTGGTCGTGGCGTTTGGGAAAATTTTCCGTGTAGCGTTGTGGTCTGGGGCGGAGCCAGAAGGGGAACAGCCGGTGCGGCCATCCCCTTTGTTTGTTCGTATTTTTTCCCTAAGAGTTCTGAAAATTCTTTGAAGAAAAATTTTGTAATTGGTTTATTTTGTTAGAAAGAATATTAGAAACTTTTCAGTTAATTTATGTAAAAAAAAAGGAAAAAAAAAACAATGTCTCATTACTAGATGTTAGTAAATAAAAATATCTCAAATAACAATAGTTCTAAAGGTTTTTTAAAAATTTTATATTTTCCAAGTAATAAATGATGTAAAAATTGTTAAAATAATGATAGAAATAAAAGATGTTCAAGGCCCAAATCAATTAAAATAGCACACATTTGAATCAAAATTAAGGCCCAAGTCTTATTAATGAAGTGAAACTAATATAGATGTTCTTGAATGAAATATATATATATATATATTCATAATTTTGTATGACTTTTTTTTTGGAATAGAATGAGTAATGCTTAAATATATTTTTTCGGCCGGGGGAGTGGTTTAGCTTTAGGTCGAATTTTGGCTCCGCTACTGCTTGTACTTAGAAGAAACACTAGAAAAAGAAAAAGTTACTTTGTTACTTGATGACAACAAGAAGTTGTTTAAATTAGCTAGTTCCAACTTAATAGACTGCTACATGGAACTCTACGTGCTTATTACGGAAAAATTGACGGATTTAACTAAAGGTTTATATGTTTCGTCAATCTTATCTTATTCTTTTTCGGTTAGCCAATATTACCCTAAACTATCCAACCGTTAGCCGATTTTGTCCAATTTGCTATTTTCCGTCTAAATTAACGGAATTCTATTTATTTTAATTATAAAAAATACCCTAATAGTTTTAAAAATTTATAAAAATAACCCCAAAATTTACAAAAATTATAAAATAGTCTATTTTCAGTTTTTATTTAAAATTTTCTTTTTTTTAAAAAAATTTCTTTTTACTATTTTTCATAACCATAAAAATATACTATATAATCTTTTAAATAAATAATTTAATTAAACACTACAGTACAAATTTATAGATATACATTTTGTAACTCATGATTGATTTACATAAACATATTAATTTTTTTAATAATATGGCTAGACAATAATGATATTATTCTTTTAATCCGTCTTTTTCAATTTAAAGAATAAGATTTTTTTTACTAAAACTAATTTTTTACAAAAAATAAAAACATTTAGCATAGATTAAAAAAATATATATTAGTACATTTTAATTTATTACAAATTAACAAAACATACTATAGATTGTATTATCCAATTAAAAAAATTATTAAATTAAAATAATTTTAAAAACTTATTAAATTAAATTAAATTAAATTTTTATGTCCTTTAGTCAAAACATTGTGAGTCCAAACAAGTAATCTGGTATACCTTATCAATAAAAATAAAAATTAAAAGTAAAAGTAAAAAAAGGCCCAAAACATAGGTAAGACCATTATTTTAAAATCAATACTTATATCCTTTAGTGCATGTGAAATCAATACTTACTCACTTTTTATATCCTTTAGTCAAAACATTGTGGATCCAAACAAGTAATTTGGTATGCCTTATCAATTAAAAAAAATTTAAAAGTGAAAAATGGTCCAAAACATGGGTAAGACCATTATTTTGAAAATTTGAGTAAAGAAAAAGAGACAATGTCAGGCTGATTTGGAGAGTTATGCCCACACTTTCTACCACAAATGGTAAAACGAATGGAGTTGCTCTTACAGCCTTGGCGAAGCATGGATTTGTACGGTGTCTTAGTACGGGCGGCGATGATGATCTAGGTGGCGGGAGACAGCCTAAAACCTGTAAGACAGAGCCTCGAGTGTCTCCTGAGGGTAGACTCTTCGATACTTAAGTCAATAAAAGAATAGAAAGAGTAGAGAGAGAGGTGTGTGTATCTTGTTTCCTGAAACCCTAGCAGAATAGGTTTAGGCGGTGGCTTAATCTCCAAGTAATCTAATCCTAGACCCAATAGGCCTAGGGTTCAGTTTGGAATCATCAAGTGCCCTTAGCAAGCCATATTCTCGAGGTTTGTCGAGAAGAATATGGGTTGCTACGAGTATTAATGTCTTCTCGAGTTTCGTGGTGTTGCCCCGGTTCTCAAACTCTTTTGTTCTCGGGTGTCACCTATATAAAATAAAGAGAGTAGAATGCGTCAGGGAGGTCTTTGTGATAGTGAATCCCTATTTAGGAGGGAGAAGCTTGTATATGCCGAATTAGGAGGGTGGCGCCTAGATGCCGAATTGGGAGGATGGTGCCTGGATGCCAAATTGGGAGGATGACACCTGGATTTCCTTATTTGAAGGGAGGAACCCTATATGTTTGGATGTTTGAGATGCGATAGATAATGTTATAATGCAATGACATATAGTAATAAGATGATTATGAGTAATATCAGTTCAAGCAGAGGATATTAGGATGATCCCTCAAATTCCTTGCCCCAAGGGTATGTCCCTGTTTGTGTCCCGGAGTACGTTTTTCTCGTTGAAGGGTGATAGGATTTTACCGCGAGAGGGTAGGTAACTTGAAGAACTCCTTTGATCGTGCTTAAAAAGATATCTTGATATAATAGTAGAAATATGCTAATGATATCAGCAGTAGATTGATTTAGATTCGAGAAATATATTAAAAAAGGTTTGAGAAGTACCTTAGTCTCGAGATAAATTGATTACTCGAGAAGATGTTACCTTGATTCTGAGAAGGTATTATGAAAGTCGAGATACGTCTTCTCTAAAACTTCGAGTAGTAGAGTCGAGATATGTCTTTTAGAACACTTCGAGTAGTAGTGTATTGCTCGAGGGATGCTTGTCCCTTCGAGGAGATGTATCTCCCGAAACTTCAATCCTCGAAATTGCCCATTACTTCGAAGGACTTGAGAGCTTATTGACATTCTTCTTGGTTGATCCTCATGGCTCTTGTCAGTCTGTTCGTCGGTTTGTTGAGGTTAGCATGAAAGTCGACAGCATCTTCGTCGGTTTCGTCGTCGGCTGGAGCAACTCGACAAAAACGTTGACAGAACTGTCGTTGATCGGATTGTCGATTGAAGGAAGTCGACGCGGAAGTCGATGGTTGTCAATATGGGAATTTTCAAATTCTTGATTTTGGCTTTCGCATACATGGATTTGCACCAATAAATTTCAGTTTCGTTTCAAGAAATTTATTTGGTTGTAAGGACCAAACAAATTGGTCCCACCGGGCGTGCCACTTGGCGAAGCATGGATTTGTACGGTGCCTTAAGACGAGCGGCGATGATGATCTAGGCAGCGGGGGATAGCCTAAAACATACAAGACAGAGCCTCGGGTGTCTCACGAGGATAGACTCTCCGATACTTAAGTCAATAAATGAATAGAGAGAGTAGAGAGAGGGGTATGTGTATCGTGTGCAGAAGGTGTAGAAAATCTGAATTATGAGAGATGCACAACCTCTTTATATAGAGGTGGTGTTAGCTGTTTCCTGAAATCCTAACGGAATAGGTTTAGGCGGTGGCTTAATCTCCAAGTAACCTAATCATCGGCCCAATAGGCCTAGGGTTCAGTTTGGACTCAGTCAAGCCTTTATCTATTACGTATGTAATGATAATCAAGGGAAACCAAGGAGGAAGAAAGATATAGATTTTATGTTTTATGATGACGAAGGAGATAAAGAAAAATAGACAAGTGAAATTTTTGGGCTTTTGGTCATTTTGTTACTCTAAGTGGTTGTTTCACCAGTCAAGGAATGTTTTTGATAGTTGTAGAAAAGTGAAGAAGTTTTTGGATAATTGATTAAACTTAGGGAGTTTTTATATTAAGCCTATTTATTTTATGATATTTTTGGCAAACAATTATCGTACTATTAACCCGGGGGAGGGTGGAAGAGAGAGAAATTTGGTAAAGCAATTTTGCCTAGATTATATTATGGCGTATTTTCAACTTTATTATTCTGTTTGGTAGGTCGAAGAATATACAAAATAGAAAATATAAATGGATCAAGAATTGGTTTCTATACGGTAGTTGCAAAGGTGTTGTTTGTTTAATCTATGGAATTTGAGCTAAATGGCCGATCACAATTAAACGTGTCAAACTATTATCGATATTTGTTGATCCTGTTGTCAATCAGATGGTTTTAACTTTTACGAGATTGTTTTTTCAAAAGATAAGTACAATGAAATTGTAAAAATGGATAAAAAGCCAATTTCAAAAATAGTAATTTTTTTTTTTTTTGAAAGTAAAAAAAATAGTAATTGTGAGTCGAATTTGTTCTCAATTATTCTGTTCAGATGTCACCGTCACTAGCAAATCGCAATATTAACAATGTTTTTGAAAACAAAAATGAAAAACTAACAAATAAAAAAAAAAAATGCTATTGTTCATATGCATATTTCTGTCCCGGCAAACGAAATGAAACCTCTCTTATAACAGAAAGTGAAGCATCTTAGCTTCTAGTTCCTTACACTTTTTTGACAAAGAAAGAATAGCTGTTTGCTCAGCAGAAAGTGTGAAAAAGTGGCTAAGAGGGAGGGGCAAAAACAATTTACTTCCAAGAAAAAATAGGAATAGAGAAATGAGTTCGGATTATAACCAAAAAAAAAAAAAAAAAATCTCATAGTTCAGCTAATTTAGAACTTAGGAAGCAACCTTCATAACTTGGCTTGAGGAGTCGGACTAGCATTAAACCAGAAGCAGCAGTCTGCGAAACTTTCTTGGTTGTTCTCGACGGACAACATTAGTTAGCCCGTAGCATAGGTCGGTAGGTCCAGACAATCAAAAGTCTGGAAAAGAATTTGCACGTATGCGATACCCTAAGTGAGGAAATTGTCAGGAACTAAAAGCCAGTGTTCTGAGGTAAATCATACTTTGATCCTCAGCATCAGCTTTCCCATCTTCATAGTAGTCTGCTGAGAGACTTAATAAGCAACTTCAGATTGCGTCGTGTAGCTTCATCACCAGTAAATCCTAAGATGTCCGAGCTTATATTCTGCAATCGTAGATCATGGAGGAAAGGTGAAACAAGGAAAAAAAAAAAAAAAAAACTAATGATGGTACCAACAAAGAAATAGATGTATCATGAAAGTAAAAGATTAGAGCTTTACTTCAACGTTCTTTAAAGTGAAAATGAGGCTGTAAATGGACTTGCGAATAAGTTCTGAGTTCTCAGGAGTCATCACTGTCGAGTGCACCTTCCTGCATAGTTGTTTACAAAAAACTAAGCCATGTCAATTCAAATATTTAGCCGATAATAGAATGTTAGACCACTTCAAGGGCACATACACTGACAGACTCCACCTACTTAGCACAGTACTAACTTGAGTGTTAAATGAGGCACGAATCCAATCAGGAACCAAACATTAGCCGAGGAACAAAAAGGCAAATATCTAATCTTATCAGTAACAGATGTAAAGCAATCTACAAGCACTTTAGAAACATAAAACATACAAATGTATCTTCAAAAACAGAAAAGAAAATTTAAAAGACAATTTACAATCAAAGCTATTGTTCTTTGAGAATTCACACCAAAGATAAGATTGAACAACATATACTCTGAAGCAAAGCAAAGTGTATTAACTTTTTCATAACAGATAGTACAGAAATCAATCTCAGCTCAGAAAAAGGAAGACGAATAACAATCAATGTCCATGTGAGAACTGCAGGTTCTTCATTGATGCCATAATTACCTAAATGGCTAGTTGCACATGTCAATCAATAAGGAAAATGTGCTTTCTGGGAATTCGGCGCCAGAAAATGAGATATATGATAAGTAATTTTTTTCTTATGTATTATTGGATTGCATCCCTGAGGCTCGAATTCAGGATCTCATGGCCACAGTTCCCCTCCCTTACCATCTCATCTCTTATTGATTGATACGTGCAAGAGCATTGTACATCTTTAACTGGAGCACAATTTTCATTTCCTCAATGCAACTAAGACTCCAGTTATACAGTAATCTATCCTCAGTTTTGGCTACTACCCTTAACATTTTTTTAGAAATTAGGTGCACTTGTATGATTGTATCGCACTAAACCTACATTTCAGAGTTTTAAGAGTTATCCTACCTATATTATTTATGGAGCACTATTTTCACCTTCCCATGTTTAAGGTGCCTACATTATGACATTAAACACATACTCCAACAGCAAAGATCAATTTCAATAAGAATGTCCACACAAACATCCAACAAACACGAGTGAAAATGAAAAATAGAACGAAGATCCTAAAGTTGGATTTTTACCTCAAATCCTCAGAAGCTTGTGTAAGGCTTTTGGTTAAACTCTCCACTTCCTTCAGCAAACCACTCTCACGTACTTCAGCAAGCAAAGGTTGTACATCTTCAGCCATGGCTTTCATCTGGAATAGCACTAGTTCGAAAGGATTTTTAAGCATGAGTTTATATTATGTTATACATAAGGACAGGCCTTAAGTTCCAATTAGATCATATAAGAAAAATTGTGATTAGCATACAACATCATCATAAAGGTCACTCCACTTATATATGAGGCCCACCACCAGCTAAATCCTTCAGATACGTCAAAGCTTTAACTCAATGTTTGAAAACTTACAAAAGATATGATACAATGAGAAGACATAATTTGGCCAATTCCTTGCTAGTTGAGCCCCCATAACAAGAACAAAGAATCACAAGAATAAGCACGACGACTGAACAACAATGAGCTCTTTTCCAGACCACCAGATTAAGGGATTCAAAAGGAAACCCAGCTCATCATGAGAGATAGTACGACATAAGTTACAAAATACAATAAAGTTCTAACCTATCCATCCATCATTCCTTAAGTTTTGCTAACTCAAAAAGCTGAAAGCAAAGTGTAAAAGAATTAATGGACCGACAACCAAGAATTAATTCCCTGCTCAGAAGGAATGGCTATCCCCAGCTGAAATTTCAAATTTTCTCAGCTTCAAGTATTGATAACAAAACTCAGTGCCATATTCTTAATATCAGTCTCAGCAAGTGGAAACCCACTGAGAAAATTTAAACTTATTTATCCAAAACAAGAAAAGAATCATATATGTTCAATATAAACACAATTAAAATTGCATTAACGAAACAAGAAAAAAAATATGAGTTCAACCTTTATAAGGAGTGGTTGTGCATCTTCAATTATATATGCAACTCGCTCAGCCAATGAATAGGTATTCTTAACACCTATTTCTTCAACCTCACGACCAAGGCGGGTAAAAATACCCACCAATGCATCCAAGCTCACTCCTTGATGTCCCTTTATCTTTTGACGGTCACACACAATAAGACCTTCCTTGACGCAATCCGGATCAAGAGGCCCAATTGAAGGAGTCGGTATAGGATCCCTCGGTGTAATATCAATCAAAGTTTCCATAAGAAGTCCAGATTGGTTCACCTCAACCAATGAATTTTTTGGAATAATTATCTTATCATCATCAACCTACAACCAGATTTAATATGGATATAAGCCAGTATCCAACTGCAGATGTCAACCTATAATAACCGGTAACAGAACAGAAATGCTATTTTACTCACCTCAACTACAGCTTCAATGCTTTTGAGAGAAGGATTAACACGGATTACATTTCCGACATTCACACCTCGAATCCTAACAGGTGTCCCTGTGCAAATCCCACACGCCTGCTGAAACTCAAACACGGCCATGTACTTTCTGAACCTCGACCGCAACTGAAACCCCCTCAACCAAGCCAAGCTGAGAGCCAGCAAAACTGCACCTGAAACTAGAAACAACCCAACCCCACCTTCCCAAATGCTCTTCTTTCCAAACCCATAGTCACTCAACGGCCGTAGGGTCTGCTTCCAAATGTTCTTAGGAACATCCAAAACAACTGACAAAGGATTCTTCGATGCAGAAGTAGAGGTGGGCTGTTGTTGTTGTTGGCTGTTCGAAGCATCACCGGAAGATGTAACTTTTACTGTAAATAATTTATTTTTGGGTCTTCTCGATGTGTTTAGACATGGCAACCAATTTATCGAATACTTTTGATGAATGGGCGTCAACTTATATGAAGGCAACAGAATTGAGCTAGTTGAAAGTTGGGCAACTGAATTTCCAACCATTCTTCAGCTTCACCTTTTTCTTTTCGTCCTAATTCTAAACAACAGCACCAGATATCGAATTCTGATCAATCAGTATCAAAATGGCATTAACCTTGATAGCCCTCTTCCTAAAACAACAAAAATCATCCTCTCAGTAACACGAAACATCAAATTTCCAACAAACACACAATACAAAGTGAAAGCAAAAAAAACAAAAGAGTGAATAACACAAACAGAATAACGAAAAGATAAAAGCAAATGATCTAATAGTTTGCTAAATTAGCAGAAAAAATAAAAGTAAAATAACATTGGCAAACTTGAGTTTCGGAAGTACCATTTAGAAATCCGGTTCTGAGAGTGAAACAACCAAATCTCCCGGAGCTGTGTTGTGGTGTTTCTTGAATTTGCCTGATGAGCTCTTTTCGTTGGAGAAGAAGGAGAGAGTGAAAGAGTGAAAAGGCAAAATGGCACCATGGATGACTTTGGGCTGGGCTAACTTCTTAAGTGGGCTGGCAAAGTAATGGGCTTTCAAGTTGACCGAATTGTGCGTCGAACTGAGCCTTACTTAACCTTAAACCCTAATAAAAACTGCGTCTTTTCCAAAACGGAGATAGCTACATTGCAGAACTTCAACTTTGTGGTGGTCTTGTGATTCAGAGTGCAGAAAAAAGGAAATGGCGAAATCATTGAGATCAAAGAGAGAGAAGAGGCTAAAGGCAATCAGAAGAGAGATTGTGGAGCCTTTGTACCAGAAGAAAGAAGAAGCTAAGCTTGCTGCCCAAGAAGCTGCCCTTAATGCTCCCAAGCTCCCTGTGAGGTCCAATGGAGCTTCCTCCATGGATTTCACCGCTAGCACTTCTAACACCAGCAATAACGATATGGGTACGCGTTGTTTATTCGATTCTCTTGAACCATGTTCGTTTTATTAGGATTTTAATTCCTGAAATTTGTTTGCTTTTGTCTAATTTTTTTAGCTTGATTGGGTTTCATGTGTATGTGCTTTGGGCGATGTGGCTGGGGTGTTTCTTGTCTTGATTTTGGTTTCGGCGTGGTCGTAGTTAGTTTGAAACTCTGTATAAGAATTATGTCTAAATATGTCATGATGAAGTCCAAATGAGTTATGTTTTTAAATGTTTGATGGTTCAATTCTTGCAAGTTATAGCCTTTTTTTCACTACTGTAAATTGATTTTAATGCTAAATGGCTTCTGATGTTTCAAAAGTATGAAATAGCTGGTGTTCTGTGATCTTCGAAATTAAAATGAAAGCTTATTGGGATTGGATGTTAGCAATTGTTATCAAGAGATTTACTGATTCAGCTTGCTGTCTTTGTCTGTGGTGATGCCTTCTATTGAAGTCTGTTGGGTAGATATTATTTCTCCCTGCATAGATTAAGCAATAATGCTGGGGAGAAGAATGTAACTTGTTATGTGAAGTTGGAGATAGTTTAGCGTTGCTTTGGAAGCTTGGATTGTGAATCGGTGAGTGTAATTCAGATATATTACAGTCTTAGGATAGTGAATTTTTTTTTTTCTCAGTGAAGCTTTATATCGTATGATGAGCTTTTACTGTGGAAGCATCAGTTTTGTTTGTAAATGCTATTACTTAGTGAAGTTGAATAGGGTAATTAACTTTGTCCGCAAAAGGGTAAATGTTGGTTATCTGAAGACGAGACTTGCTACTTGAAAATGGTGTTTTTTTGTTTTTTTTTTTCAGATACCCTTACCTTCTATTCTTCCAGGTTTTCTCCCAAGTAAATTTTTTTCTCTGGCATGTCTCTACCTTAATTAAGCTGTAGCTCTGATTAGGGGATTGTGAACTCTCAGATTATAGTTGACCCATTTGTCCCCTTGTAGGAGAATGGATAAACAATGAGTCACTGTGCTGCTTAATTGTGGGAGACTTGCTTCATTATAGTTTTGGTAGTGAATTAGTATGTTAATGTGTAAGAAAATCCCATTATGAAGTGCTCCTGTTCAATAATATTTTTAAGGATCCTAATTTTTGACTTTTGGGAATTGAGAGCAGTTCCCCGAAAGTCTAGTGATCCAATTTCCTGTAAAACATGGTTCCTGGTGTTTCAATTCAATCACAGCTTAGAACCTAAAATTTTATCGAGGAATGGATGGAATTTATGTGCGTGTATACCATAATTAGTTATTCATTGCCACTCTGTTGTGTAAAGTGGGTTCTTCAATTTGTGTAATTAAATAGCTATCATTGGAGATGATTAAGTGACACTATGAGTGTTGTGTAAATTTCTTTTTAAAGTCTTTATGTTTCAAAATTTGCAAATTTCTGTAAGAGCGTTGGAAGTTGGAACGGGGTCTGCTTTTTGTTATGCTGTATTTTGAGTTGGTGATCCTTTCAGTTGGACTGTATTCTTTATACAGAGCCATTAACGATAGCTCCTTCTTAATGCTGGGGGATTCACATTGATGGTTTTCCTATCCTGACCGTACTTGTGTTGGTTTGCAGATGTTGAGATGGCTGTTAATGAAAGTATGAGAGCCTTGAAACCTATTGGAAAGAAGTTGAAAAAGAAGATTAAGTTAGCTAAGAGGAAAGGTCGCAAGTCTGCCAAGGGCAAAATCAGAAGAAAGAATATCTAAGCTAGTTTGGCGTACTGAAAAATGTCAAACCTGTATTTTTTTGTGCTGATTGAATCTTGTTGTAGCTTAAAAATATTGGTTACCTTATCGTGTCACCTACCGATTTGTGCAATCAAGAAATGAGAATCCTTTTTTGCGATTAGTATCCCATTTTGTCGTGTCACCTGGTTCCTTGTCTCTCAACTCTCAACTCTCAAGTCGTAGATTTTACATGAGATTATCGGAACATTCTGGCAACGGTTTGTCAATTTTGTCTCAGAGTTACCTGTGAACTAACTAGGATGTATGCAGTCAGCGACTGAAGCATAATTAGACTATGAGGTCATATTGATACTATTGTCATTCATCAAGAATACGAGACCTGGTGATCGATAAATTCAAGTTAAGGAAAGTGGGTAGTTTCTGCCACTGACTCCTCTGCCTCCAGATTGTAGTTGTTAACTAGAGAGGCAGAGAATATCAGCTGTCTCTAGAGAGATTAACAGCCTGCCGGAATCGGAAGAGAAACAAGGGGAAAAACAAATGCTGAGGCAGCAGTTCATTTGTTACAGTACTTGTTAGTGTTGTCATTGCACGGTATTTTCCCTGACCTGGATGGGTGAATGGTCGTGGCGGAAATCGGGACGGAACAGTAAAAATTGATCAAAATTTCAAAATGAAATGTAAAAACTCAGTTATATATACATGTTGATGTAAAAGACGGAGGATCATTTATACAGTTTAATCTCGGAAATTATTGCATGCGCATTAGGTGGCTGCATTGCACGCACCATTGAGTTGCGTGAAACCTGCTCATGCGCACTTAATGCGCAGGTTGTGGCTTTTTAATTATTTTTTTATTAAGTGAGTTTTAAAATTTTTTTTTATCTTCAAATAATTTTATTTCTTAATCCGTAATGAATTATACCAAGTGTGTCAATTGGATAGTACTCGATGATATCTATCCAACAAGATCCATCATAAATATGTTTTTCGAAACTTTAAAAAATTTTTTCAGTTGTCTTAGTTTTCTAGGAAGAGACTATGGTCTTACTTGTTGCTCCAAAGTGTTTTGTGCAAACAGTTTGGTCTTTCTATTTGTTGTTATGGGTCTTGATTTGTACGTATTTGTCTTGGTTTTCTCGAAATACACTCTGGTCATACTTGTTTGTATTATTGGTCCTTGATTTTTGGTTCTTGGTCTTTGGCCATTGGTTTTTGGTTTACGGTGGAATTTTTGGGGGAATTTTTGAATTTTTTTTCTACTGGTTTTTTTAATGAGACTTTTTTTTTTTAGTTTAGTGGTTTTTTTTTTGTAATTGTGATATTGTGCATTTATCTAGATATAATTATCCTCTATTTTGATTATTTAACAATGGAAAACTTCATTTGTTTTTATTTTCTTGCAATTTTATTTCTTTTCACTGTAGTTCCAATTTCTTACTTAATATAATTTTAAATTATAAAATGAGACAATCTAATTTTTTTTTGCAATTTATTTCTTTTCATTTTAGTTCTAATTTCTTACTTAATATAATTTTGAATTATACAATAAGACCATATAAAACATACTACACAATCTTTAAAATTACTAGATTTTTCCGGCCCGCGATTACTCGCGGGAATAGATTTTACAATTTAATAATTTTAATATAATTTTGGCTTCATTTTATTTTAAATTGAGTTATTCAAATAAATTATTTAAATTCAAATCTCTTAAAGTAATTGTCAATTTTTACCATCTCATTCAATCACTTTTTTTATTTTGGTTATATCTATTCATTTTTCAAAGTAGAGGTAAGGTGGACATTCCATAAGAAAAATGTAATTGAATTTTTGTAACGCTTTTGTATTATTTTATAATAAAAATTGATGTAAGTTACTATTTTAAGTTGAAAAATTAAAAATGTATGATAATTGATGGTTAGACCTTTATGGAATTGACCAATTTTTTATTAAAAAAATATTTTTATAATGTACAAAAGTAGTCTATTTTTCTGTTATATAGAGATTATTATTTAATTGTAATATAGGGTTAAGACATTTTTTCATTAGTGTAGAAGATCGTGGATACATTCATATTATTTAAACTTTAAAGTGTCAAAAATTAAGAAGAAAAGTAAGAAGGATTTTAGAATTTTTTCCTTAAATATATTTGAAGAAAAAAACCTGGACAAAAATAAAGTTTTTTAAAATTTTGTGGACAAATTTATATGTCCCAAATTTAGGAAATCCGAATGGGGACAAAACTCGGATTTCAGAAATCCGACCCCCAATAAACTCGGATTATTAAAATCCGACTTTGTGTTACGTAAATCCGATATTAAGTTAATGACAAAAATTAGTGTAATTAATCTAAATCCGGATTTTATAAATCCGTTTCTATGAATAAAATATTAATTTCCGGATAGAGAAAAAAAATGTGTTGAAAAATTAAATTTGGGCAGAACTCGGATTACCGAAATCCGAATCTCCTCTGTTTTCTAAAAAATGGTGACTCTCAGTTGGCTACGGACTCAGATTTCCGAAATCCGAATCCTTTACAAAAAGTCTGGGTTCGGATTTCGCAAATCTAAGTCTTTGTCAGAACTGAAAAAAAAAAATTGGACTGATTTTCACCAGTCCTAAACCTGTTTACAGCACCAACAACAATGAAACATTGGAAAATAGGAATTTAATGGCAACAAAACAATAAACGGCATTTGATTAACAACAAAACAAATCAAGTTTCATAAAAAAATCAATACAAAAACTACTTTAAATGTGCAAAATAATGAAATGTCTCATTTTTTCCCTTTTCCTTTATTGTGCACATCCAAAGTGTATTTGTTTGGGCCCTGTCGGATCCTGTCTCCCTTCTTAAGATATGTGAGTATTGAACTTTGTTGTGGTTGCGACTATCCACCAAACTGAGCCTCGATTTGGGGTTGGGATTGGGACTCCCCCATGGTGATAAATTTGACTCCCGGTTGTGGTTGCTACTGTCCACCAAACTGAGTCTCAGGTCCACCAAGGTCAAACTGAGTCTCGGGTCCACCAAGGTCAAACTGAGTCTCGGGTCCACCAGCTTCTTCAAAATGAGTCTCGACCTGGATGCGCGAGTCTCGAGAAGAATGTGCTTGATCCTCATTTTGTTGACCCTCAGTTTGTTGTTGCGATGTCCGAGGGGGGGATTGTGACCTTCCTCTTTCTTCCTCCTCCAATCTTATCTCTCGACCACGGTTTCGCTTTTTTACCCGGCGGAGGTTGTGAGGGCAAAAATGGATCTTCATCAACCAGGATTTGGGTATCCTCCACCTCCATCTCATCATTTGCGCCCAAGGTTAAAGCAACATGTGTTTGATTGATGATATCGTCCAAATGCTTGTCAAGTTCTTCGTCTAGGAGATTATCATCTTCTCGTTTTTCTCTAAACCTCTCGGTACTCACGCGAATGTTGTTCAATACTTCACCCTGAAAAGAAATTGGGACGTTAATTAAGAGAGTAAAGTTCTAAAAAAATAAAAAATGAAAAAAAAAATGAAAACATAAGAAATAATAAAAGAAATCTAGAATTAACTCACATATAATTTCACGCGGCTCGAAGAAGTCTCGTATCCTTGAGGTTCATAATTACCGGGATTGGATATCAGTCTGACAGTGTTCACCATGAACCATTCATAATACCCCTCATATACGGAACCAGGATCTCCTTCCTCCAAATCTCGTAGCATGAACTATTCTCTCCTATTCCAATGACGACGTACTGCGGAATGGTGGTCCACCCAATTATTGCTAGGATACCCAGACATACTGTGGGCGATCGATAAGGAATGCTGCGTTATCTTTAATCATGGGGCGCTTGGGAACATCCTGTATGTATCCAAATTGTCTTACGACTCTGCCCGACTCGTGGGGTTCCCTAATAGCCCAACAGAACATCCAACACCTAGTCGTCCAAATGGCTTGGCTTTGTGTACAGAAATCAGGGAGTCTATGGAGGACATGTGCATATGGTTGCCACCGAAACTGCACGAAAAGAATTTCATTAGATGGTACAACCGAAACAAAAAGAAAGGGGTAATTGATCTCAAAGTAACTATAAATACCAAATTACAAGTACTTATATCTTCAACACGCAGACTTGTTAATTGATCTCTAAAAGGTGGAATGCTGCTCCTTGGGGCGTTGCCGTAGGTGTACCTACATTCCCACCTTAATAAACAAAGGGGTACATTTGAATTAGTGAAATAAATGAATAAGAAACAAATAGAATTAAACGTTGAGTTATTTTGAACTGAAAATACGTACCGCTGAGCTAATAGAGCGGTCTCATCAATCAAATAATCTACTCCTTTTCTTTGGGGCGCGATCCTCTCGATCCGCTCATACGCCCATACCTAGTAAATTGCAATAATAATGTTAAAACTTCAAATTATAACGTCGAAAGCGCAAAATAATTAAAACACAAAATGAAAACTAATACGTACCTGTAGCAAATATAGACACCCAGTGGCGTCGTGCATGGTATACTGTGATGCCTCGCATAGTCCAAAGTACAACCCAGCCAGCAGTGCCGATCCCCAACTGTATCGACTACATTGATCCAAATTCTCAACCTGGGCCAAGAACTGTAGATTGACAGTGTTCTGCGTCTTGTTCGGAAACATGAAACTGCTAATAAAATGCAGTATAAGTGTCCTGGCCCTTTGCTCGAATCGATGGACAGTGGAATTTTCAGGTAGTGCACGGCCCATCTCATCTTCGAAAATACCAACATTGACACATTGGCCATTTACAGTCGCCGGCCGGAATCCCAAATAAGCCTCACATCGATCCCGCAATTCATCTGCAGTCCGGCTAACTGTCGTCCCGTACACCGGGTCACCATCCACCCGAATACCAAACAGGACCTCGACGTTCTGTAGCGTCACCGTCGCCTCTCCGAAATTGAAATGGAAAGGGTGGGTTTCTGGCCTCCACCGTTCCACCAACGTGGTAATGAGGCCTAGATCAACTCTTTTGTACCCTACTTTCATGATCCCCTCAAAACCGGCTCTCCTAATGACTTCCTTAACCTCCGGTGCCGTATTTTTGTATAACGCCCAAAAATCTCTGTTGTACCTACGGCCCTTGAGGCGAAATGTTTTAATGTCCGGTATCTTGTTCTCATAGACAGCTTGGGACCTATGCTTTGTTTGACGATATAGCATTTTATCTTGTATAGGTCCCAGGTGAAGATGTTTAGGTTGATAGTCATATTGCGAGCCCGATGTCGGCGTCGCCATTTCAATCCTACACAAGGTAACCAATACCACTTCAATCAAAATAATGATGATGCACAAACCAAATACCATATACACTCGGCCAAAAAAAACAATTCAACCAAACCATATACATTCGGCCAAATAACAAAACTACCAAACGATGTAAACTCGGCCAAAAAAAACAATTCAACCAAACCATATACATTCGGCCAAATAACAAAACTACCAAACAATATACACTCGCCAAAAAATATAACTACCAAACCATATACATTCGGCCAAATAAACAAAACTACCAAACTATATACATTCACAATTCACAATTTACACAACTATAATCCAACACAAACACTATATCAACACAAACCAACACAATTCAAAATAAACTAAACCACAACAATACACATTAGAAAAAAAAAAAGGACTCGGATTTCACAAAGAAAAAAAAATATTTGACAAAAAAAAAAATAAAGAGAGAAACAAAAAATTGCAACTTACCGTGAGGAGTGGAGGAAGTCGGGAGGAGTGGAGGAAGTCGCCGGAGGTGGAGAGAGTCGGAGGGAGTCGCCGGATTGCAAGGAGGGTCGCCGGATTGAGTGGAGGGTGGAGGGTCGCCAGATTTAGTAGAGGGAGTGGAGGGTCGCCGGAATCTGGAATTGGAGTCGCCGGGAGGAGTGGAGGGTTGCCGGATATCATGGAGGGAGTGGAGAGAGTCGCCGGATTGAGTGGAGGGAGTCGCCGGAATTGAGTGGAATTGGAGGGAAGTTTTTAGGGTTTTTAAAATCTGGATTTG